TCACTTGAAATACGCTTTAAAGCTGGCGACTCGAAATTTTTTGATATAACTTCGGATTTGTAGGATTGAAATGATTCATGGATATGCTGTGACATTACGAAAGATGAGTTAATTTGCTTGAATACCTATACTTTACTCGACAGTGGTAGAGCTAGCTTTAATATTTTCGCAAGAATGGGCCGGCTCGCCCAGTGTAATACCACGACCACGCAGAAGACAGGCGTGCGGTGGGATAAATTCCACCTTTCGTCTGTTGAGTGTGGTGCCAGTGGCCTAATTTGGTCCCATTCCACCCTTCTCTAAATAGGAAAGGATAGGAAGGAAAATTGGATTTAACTTTATGTGCGTTTCCTCTTCGGTCGATTAAGGATAGGCAACGCATTTGCAATTGCAGATGTCTGTATGCAGTGGTTGCTTCGCCATTGTGGCGGTTTCAGGTGGCCGCTTGCTCGTTTGCCACCTTATGATATAAAAAAAAAACTTTACACTCTGAGTATTAAATTTTAAAAACTAATACGAATTTCATTTTATAATACGAGCAGCAGGATCACTGAGCAACGACCTGACCTGACCTGATCGACAACCATCGATGTCTATGGACATTCACAACGCCAGAGGAACTGCAGACGCGTTAACGACGTTGTTAGAAGGTGATACGCTCGATTCTTCGCAAGGATTCTAAATGAAATGAAATTCAGTCGAACTGATAAGGTGTAACGTCTATTATTAGAACCTAATACATGTGCCAGACATGATGTTTTTTTTTGCAGTAACAAATTCTGTGAAAAATGGTTCGAAGAGCAGCTTTTTCTGTCTTAGAATGTGTTATTTTTTGGAACTGAGTAACGTAGTTGAAATCAAATAGACGAAGTCACGATGGGCGTACACTTGGTAGTAATTTACATTTTTAGAATACCTCCAAATATTTTTAGGGAGATTTTCTATTCGACAAAACTAAGCGAAACGATACAAATCGAGGGGAAAAGTATAAATATTTATTGCACAGGTGGTATAAAACCGCTGGAGGATATTGGAGGATAAATTGATTGTGCGGGGTCGGTTTTTCCATTTAGATATGGAAATTCTCGAAATCGCGAACGAAAATCTTAGGCTTGCTTTATCCACAAATCAAGGTTAAACAGTCAGTATTAAATTGTAGCTGTTGCATTATTTTTTATTAACTTGACAATAATTTGCATAAAACTTTCACCAAAATAGCTAGACCTTGAAAAATTTTAATTGCATTAAGACCGGGCGTACCCCTTTGACTAAACTGTCGCACAACAGTTTTGTTTGTCGATCGTCGATTGTTTCGCTGTAAATTCAACTGATTAGTTGCACAACTAAAAACCGAGTAGTGTGCGCACCTCCATATAATCTTTTGGGAATCAAAGCGCGACTAAACAGTTGTGCGATAGTTTAGCCAAAGGTGCTCACGCGCTTTAATTGGTTACTATTAATACCTATAATGGTATTTAAACTCTAGAATTAGTTAAGTTAATATAGTTCAAAAGTCTCTTTTGGTATACATTGAATACATTTGGAATGATCTCCAGATAACTTTACTAAGAGCAAGCAATATACCGTTGATAATACGGATATCAGAGAAATTTAGGGCAACGCCGAAGTTATTAATCCCAAGGTACAATATAGTTAATGACGATCCACTTTATCTTGAGATGTATTTCTTGGGGCCACTAAAGCTATCCCGTCTCGATTAACTGCGGCAGCAGGTGAAACTGATTTGGTAAGATTTGAATAGATAAAAAATAACGACGCTTAATATTATGGAGGAAAATAAAGATTTTATTTATTTAAAATCAGAAAAAAATGAATTTTTATTTGTATTGAAAAAGTTATGTCCAAATTGTGTGTATGTAAAACGAGAAAAAAATTAAAAGTTCTGAAAATTGCGCATAGTTTTGTGTAACATTGTTAATAAAAAAATGTATTGTGTGTAAAAACTACTGAAAAACTTTTTTCTACATGTTTGCGTACTGAAATATAGCCATATACAAAAGTATAATATTAAAAAATATTAATATTTTTATATTTTTATGTTTATTTTTATATTTTTAGATTTTTATCTATGTCAATCAAAAGACACCGACATAGATTTTATTATTTCGTACGTTAGTATTAAATAATTTCAATGTATTGCCTGAAATAATAATAAATAAGGTGAGAATTGCAACATTAACTTGGTATAATTAGGTGATGTTAAATTGAGTGAGAAAGCCTAACGACTCTTGACGTGAGAGAAGTACTGGATTGTAATGTAATAAAATGAGAGGAAACGGTTACTTAAGCACGCCTTATTCTTGAGCTTTTAATTTCTCCTAATATTTGTAAATTATACGCACATTTATACATATTTTAGATAATGCCTATCATGTCTACTCAGATCTTAATATCATAGATTTTTACATTTTGAAATGTAATAATTTATTATTAAATAGAAAAATCTGAATGAAAAATTATGAGATATGTAAATTTCAAACTCAGTAAAATACGCCTACGAAAATATAGAATTAACGTGACTAGTTTGTAAAGAACGTACTTACGGAAAATTGGAGGCTTAAGCGGTAAAGCTTTCTTATCAGTAAAAAAATAAAAGGATCAGAGTACGTAAAGAAACATAAATAACATCGCAGATACTGAGACTTAGAATGTTACAAAAGTTTTTATGGCATGTAACGTTTCTAAACTTGCTCTTATCTGTCTTAAATCCATTGTCCTCTATATCTAAGACTCGGTCAACTTTTTAAGTAAAGAAAGTCTCTAGCTTAAGGGTCGCAAGTATTGTGATAAAACAAAACGACAATTGAGTCACGTGAATACAAATTTCTTACTCACTTTTTATTATACTTAAGTAACTGATAAAAAACGTTTACCAGAGTCTATGATTTAATATCAAAATTTTATTCATAATTTGGAGTTACAATGGCTACAGTTTTTGCAGAGAATACAATCGAAAAGAAGAAATCGAAAAGTTTAGATGGATGGATGTTTGTTAGAGTTTGTAGAAAAAACGGCTGAACTGATTTCGATGAAATTTGGTATGGATGCAGACGATAGTCTGGAAGAACACATAGGCTACCCACTTTTGTTTTCTTTTCCACTCAGACGTAGTAGAGGGCGACAGCAAATATAATAATAATTCACACTACGTAACGTATCCTTAACTCAAAGCATAATAATTTGTCATGATATACTAAACGTACATTGTACGTCAAAGGAACTCTTAATAATGTACTTTGTGAGTTCACCCCAAAGTATATGCCTCCTAATTGTGTAATTCCTTTAAGACATTCATTTTGATTATCAACTATAACATACTCCCCGGGGTGAAACTTTGTGAAGTACTTGTGTTTCTGTTCTAACACGCGATATGTGAGCCACGAGAAAATTAAGGTCGATACGAGTCGTTCGCTTGCGCGACTTTATACCTACGAGCCAATTTTGTCGGAAAATTGAACTGTAAATTGTGGTAATTGTAACTTCTGGGTACAACCCAGCGGTGCGTCGTCAATTAAAAATGAATTGATGTAAACATTACTCGATTGGAAAAGCACGGCCATCTACATATACCCATGTTATAAAGAGGATTTGTAGCTTTGTATTTAAAGGTGCAAGTAAAGCTAAATATCGACACATCAGTGGCTTGTGAGATATGCAAAAATCAACCGTTTTATACTATTTTAAAACATATAGGAATTCATTCCTGTAAGTAATCATTCTTGGTCAGTTTATATTTCGGAAAATCCCACTGGTACTTCAATTGTATATGAAAAATCATATTGTGTGAATTGCGAATGAAAAATGTAATATTATGTTTACATAAAAAGAGTATAATAAAAAAGAAATAATTCAGGATTTTCTTTTAACAAGTAAGTTCGAAAACAAGCGATAGTAATTTGAATGGCAAACGTGCGTCAATAACAGTATGCCGGCTCATTTCACATATTGAATCCACTCGTGTATTTCGCAGGTCAATACGGCTTTGTGTGGAAACCTCAAAATGGTTGATATGAAGGTAGACTGAGCAATTAGGCGTCGAATTACCTATGTGCTTTGTGACATTAATAAACTGTGTACTAATTATACGAGAAAAATAATATACAACCTCAAATATATCTAAACTCTGTTTAAAGGTTATCGTAAATTCTAAGTTTTTTTTTTAATAATATAATTTCTAGCACATCCCTATTATGTGTGTGGGAAATTGAATTTTATATCAGTCTGAATACGTAATACAATAGTAATTTCCTTTATATAAAGTTGACTTACGATGTTCAAACCTTAATCCTACTTTATTTCAACATTTAATCCTCGCGTTTTAGTGGTTTTATGAATAGGTATTCATTAAATTTAAAAACAGGAATTATTAAAAACGAAAGGTATTAAATTACAATAGAGTTTATACTTAAATTGTATAGCAATAATTGTTTCAATGTATTATCACAAGTTAAAAAGACTAAAAGCATTGTTAAAACAATACACGATAAATAGAACGAAATATTGCAGTCAAAAGTGATTTAAATCATTGTCACAAGAAAAATAAAAAAGTAAACGTCGATAGAGCAATTAGGAGCGGCATTTACATTCAAAGTAAAAGCTCCCTCAGAACAGAGCCCCCTAACAAGTCCAGAATAATATATCAGGGGACAAAACTTTCACGCATTGACCCCTTTTTAAAGGTTAATGTCTTGAACGTCTTCACCGGAATACTAATCCGTCGTGTATGGGCACAATCGTGTTGAATTTCAAACCCCTTTTTATGAGGGTTGTTTTAGTGACATAATTAAAATTAACTACGATAAAAGATAAAAAAATCAAATCCTTTTTATTTATTCTACTTACGTAAAATTAAAACGTATTATTTCTTCATAAAATTATGTTATTTATGGGTTCTACCGAATTATCTTTTTCTACAAATAATTTTAAAAAGAGGATACGGAGTTTTTTTAACTGTAAATATAGAAAAAATTAAGTACCTAAAATAATTTTCTTCAAACAGGCTTAAATCCATTTTTCTTAGTTAACGGCTTGTGTAAAAAACCGTCGTAGTATAAACCAGCGAGAGGTCTAAATCCTTTTACTGCGTGTGTATATTTTTTCTCGGTTGAAAATTGCCAACGATTGTCATCTAACGGAAGGCTATGATTTTCACTAACATTAGGTTTAAATGTAAAAAGAAACGGCTTTTCTAATGGAGGTAAAAGACTTGAGTCAAATAAACTGTTCTTTTCCGATTTTTCTTTGTATAAATTAGGATCTGTATAATTTCCATATTCTTCGACGATGTTAGTTGTTAACGATATGGTATTTATAAAATCACTGTTATTTTTAGCTGGTGGGTAAATACCAATAGCTTCGGTTGAACTCACAGTATTTTCATTTTCGTTTATTAATGTTGTACTCGTAGTTTCTTTTGTAGTAACTCTCTCAGTAAAATTATCAAACTGAATCAATTTTGATTCATCTGTGATATTTTTTACATTATAATTCTTTACATCACTTCTATCAAAATCAACTGTTTCGTTAACATGAATAGTTTTTTCATTGGAAACTAATTTTTCATATTTCTTCATTTGTAAACTTCTGTTTATTTCTTGATAGTTTTCCTGTCCTGAACTCTCTTGAATAATAGTATTTTGATGCTGGTTGATTGACGGAAATACCAATATAGATGGTAAAAAGTAATAGGGTTGTATCTGGTGGTAGTTTTCTCCAGTATGTAATCCACGGAATAATTGTAACAATGCAGGTAAATGTCGATCATGACGACTACTTAAACCATCTTGAACTGCACCGTTTACTAAAATATAAAACCAAATGTAAGCTACAAGTAAAATAAATTAAGAATTAATTCTGTACGAATACTGACACAAAATTACGAAAATGTTTAAAAGGAGAAACGTGAAAGAATGACCGCACAACCTCATTTTGTGTGCATGAATAATGAGTGGAATAACAAGAAATAAAATATACTTATTGTCACTTAATGTACAGTTATGTATGGTAATTGCAATGTAGTAGATAAAAATATTCAGACCGACTTTTTTCCTCTACATGAACTACATAATTTAAAAATAGAAACAGTAGAGTAAGGCTTTGACTTATTTCAGTAAAAGAAAATCAATAACGAATTTATTAAAAAAGATATTAATTAAAAATGGCAGTAAGACATTATAACAAACAGAAGTTAAAATTTATTTTAATTATGTATAAGAATAATACATAATATTCAAAAGAAAGTTTGGAAAAGAAAACAATGCATTTTATGTGATTTTTTTTATGTACTACAAGCAAACAATGCTTTTAAAAAGCGACTAAAAGGAATCGACATATGAGCTTATCGTAATGCGGGCTCATTAGGGCTTGTTTGCTTTCTAGTACAAAAATACAATATTTATAAATTAAATTTTATGAAATTATTAAGATCTGTGTTAAACAATTTTTAAACTTAGACAAAAAAATGTAGTAAGTCGTATCACTACAGCCCATAACTTTCGCAATAAGCATAGTCTACACTAGTATAGTTTCAACTACAATTTTTTTAATTCCACGAGAACAAAGTCGCGAACAACAGCTAGTATACAATCAAGTAGACGAAGACAGAGTTAGATGAAACATCTTAAATATCAATCATCCTGTATCACATACCTTCGTTACATAAATAATTTATAGGAAATGTTAAATTTGCTCCAAATGTTCAAGGATTAAGCAGCTACTCTAATTTGCGAAGCACGGTAGATCGCTCTGAGATAAATTATGCAATAAATTATTCCGTCTTAATTAAAACTTTGGCCACCTATACCCCGGCAATCAATGCTTGTTATATAATACAATATGTTTTGGTACACAAGTTTATTTACGACCGCATTTTGATGAGATACTCCACTGGTTAACGAGTTACATACTAAACAACTGACTAATTGAAATTTATGTGTACAATATATTTTATAATAAAGCAATCCATAATAACATATGATTTGTGTTAGCTTTTTAACTAATTTGATGTATTCTTGAAGGTTATTTAGTCTGTGCAATAAATCAATACCATTTATCTGTATTGAAAATAACAATATAAACTTCGTAACTATGATCCAACGAGTTTAAATATTCATTTCATAATATTAAGATGTTTGTCAGAAATATAAGTGTGGTATTAACTAGGCTACACGACGGCCATATTGGTAGTGGCGGACAGTGAGTATGGATACATGAAAAAACGGTGTTATTGGTAAGGTTTTTTCTGTACAAACTGGAAGGAAACATAAGAGCTAAAGTCTATATTTGATTAAAGCATAATATGGCTGTTGTTCTCATATTTGGTTGCTTAATTCAAAGACTACTAAGTCACCAAATACCATTTTGTTGCATAAACATTTAACTTTATTCAGGCTCCAAAAAACAAATAAGTCATTCATAAATCTACTGTTGTAGTTTTAATTTTTGAATTTAGAACATTGCTCATTTTTTTTCGAAAACGGCAAAATGGCGTTGAATAACACTGCGTTGCTTTTTCCCGATCAGTTTCTACCATATAATAACAATGGTAACAGCAGTGCGGTATTTTTTCAGCACATTTGTATCAACTTTGAATTGCTTATATCATAATTATGAAGTATATTTCTAGTAGAAAGTTTACAGTATAAAGAAAATAAACGTAATTAGACTGAAATTGACATTTTTTTTACTTTTGGAAAATATGCTCCAACTATTTATTGATCAACGATGAATTGTATCACGTAATTCGGTAATATTATTGTTTACAATATAACCATTGTTGTCGTGTGAATGGATGGTCTGTAATTCGCACTTACATTTAAGCCTGTAATGGTTTGAGGTTAAGTCTGTATTCTAGTTGTACGTTTGGGTTCGCTATTGTCTCCAACTATTGTCAGAGTGTATTGTTTAACAAACATAAGCTCCCCGGCTTTGTTACGTTGTGAATAAAAATTAATTTTTACCACGTGTATGATAATAAAAGCTGCTTTTCTATTATCTGTAATATTAATTTATACATTCCTTACGAAAACTTTACTTCTATTTATGCGTTATACGAATGTATAGAAATAATACGTAGATATTCACTCTTAACGTAGAGTTGGCAGAGACTCTGGCACACTTGTGTCGCTTCTTGTCAATTCATACATCTACGTAAAAATGCTCTTCGGTTGTGCGTTTTACAGTATGGATTTTTTTTTTAATCTAAAAGTTTGATATAATAACAACTAATTAAAAAGTTAGTTATAGTTCATATGTGAATTCATATACATAAATATGAGGTTAATTTAATTTATCATGGTTGTAGGGAACAACTTCATTAGCTAGACCCTTAATAACCGAGAGCCGTTATAAAATATGGCCGGGTATTTTTTTCTACTCATTTAATCTTTTTAACAATAACCAGATCAATTTTATTTATAAACATCTTATTATCCCAATTAGACGATAAACTCCAAATTAAAGGGAATCTGTACCCTCGGCAAGGTCGTTGTGTTTTAAAAAAACCGGCTTAACTTAATTCTTGTATCATTTAATATTCCTTGGACTTAGTGCCCGACTCAGATACTTTAACAGGTAACTAAGGGAGTCCATCAATTAACCTAATTTAAAATCTCGACTTATTTTTAATTTATTACGAACGACTAAACTCACTGATGATTATTTGGTTACGTCACGGATTAGGTTAAGATCTGTCAGGGGTGTCACCATACTCCAGGGCGTGCAATAAGTGAGTAAAGTCAAAAACCACTCACCCTGAAGACGTATCCCTTAAAGGGTCAGAAAGTCTGAAGTCACCGTATAATCATATGCTAGTCAATGCAACTTTCACGTATTAAATCGACACTAAGGGAGACTTATCGATTCTGTGTGCGGCAGTTTTGTAAAATTCAATCCAATTACATTACGCAGTGACCCGTAATTAATAGGCCTGATTTACTTTGAGATGCGGAAGTACTCTTCCGTACTCGTTTACATATTTTCGAAATTAGCTAATTATTTTAATGCTCCGCTGGTTGGTTTATTTTATGACCGATATTATTTTGCATATGAAACCTCTGTTATTATAACTTATGCTTCATTTAATCTGTTACCTATTTCATCAAATATTCTTTTAAAATTCGACAAGATTCATAATGTTCTATCTAATTATATAACATTCTCAGAACAAGATCTCAGTTTGTGTTCAAACCTTTGTGGGTGTTATCAAATAATCCATTTGATACAACCAATATTTTTGTCAAAGCTACTAAGTAACCAACTTGTAGTAACGTGATTATAACGCCGTCAGGGACCCAATTAAATTATGTAACGAGCAAGCTATGTTTGCTTTAATCGAAGACCAAATTCTGCTTACATAAATAGGACTATATTCTATGCACATTTGGATACATTATTTAGTAATATGTTTCAACTTACGTATAAATGAAATGAGAAATAAAAGAAACAGCCACATAAAACGTAGTTATTTCCGCATCAAAAGCATCTTTCTTCATATAAAAACAAGACTTTCGTTTTATGACAAACGTATTTTCACGTTTTATGAACAAAATTCTCCTAAAATCAGTATATAATCTAAAAAATAGTTGTCTACACTGAAGTTTCATTATCATCATCCACTTGTCCTTATCCCTTACGGAGGGTCGCACAGTATGTTCTGCTCTTCCATACATCTCCATCAGCCGTCATATCTGAATTACACTGATAATTAAAAAATAAATTAGTTTAATTTATTCTCGATTACTTACCGGTTAATAAAAATTAAGGACAACCAGTGAGTAGAGAGTCGTCCATTAGGACTTAAGGCCGAAGTCAAGATGGCTGGATGATGTCTAACGAGATCTTACAGATAAAGATATCGCTGTCAATGAGTGGAAACAAAAATAGACCGACAAGAAGAAATTTACTCTAGTTAGCAAATCTAATGATGAAAAATGTAAATTTAATTCAACTTCTAACTTATTAAATTTACATGTAAAAAGGTAATTACAACCGTTTATCAGATCAGGTAACAACATAGTAATTAAAAGTAAGGCAACAGCGGTTCGCTGATCATCCGGAAACGAACCACCGCGATTTCATATTTGACTCGCTGGTCCGGAAAATTGCATAATGTCGGGTAATAATTGAATTATCAATTTTCGCATCATGCATGTTGACTGATAATTTTTTAAAAAATCCTTACAGGGTCAAATAAAAAAACATAACATTACCTTGATAATTTTGAATATCAATTTTGTTTTTTAAACGTATTTAATGTTTTCTAAAATCATTATAAAAGTGCTTTAACAAATTTCAGTTTGACACCTTGTATGTTTGTTAAAAATTTATTTTGCTAAAATTCTAACAACAGTAACACTTCTTAAGTAAACATTTCTTTAACTCACGAACATAAACTTTCGTAAGGTATTTCTTTAGAAAAGTTTCCTTGAAATATTCATATTGTAACCGCTTGCCTTTAGAAGTTAATATTTAGTTTTCAAAGTAGGGTTCATATTCATATAGAGACTGCTTTGAAACTATTTGCCTTATTCAACCTTACATACTCTATGAAAAGTCCTGCAAAATTAGCTAATTAATTAAAAACTTTTACTAACTAGAATATTTCAATCTACAGTCTTTTTATGGTTTATTTAGGGTTACAATTGGAAGGAAAATTTGGTGTTATTTAACTAAAATAAAACATTATCAATGAACAAGACATCCAAAGTGTTTTATTTCACATGTAAGTGCTTTTCTCAGAGCAAAAGTACTATTTCATTTTTTTAATTCACCTACCAGATATCTCTATAGCCCTCAGCGAAATACGAAACATCGAATCGCACTTTAAACCTAAGCAGAATTTAGTTCAATATTCGAAATCTTTTGATGTGGAGTGCAAGTGATGCTTTTGATGATCGATCGATTTGTTTGGTCTCTACAATAAAATCTTTGCACTTCAA